GGAGCAGCTGAGAACACTCTGTGCGTGCATGTTTCCAGAAAAATGAGGAGGGGAGGTTGAGATCTCAGATGAACCATGTGTGTTCATCCCCTCTGGTATCCAAAAGAGGAAGAGCGGTGAGAAGCAGGACCAGAGGAGAGAAACCAACTCTGGAACTGATCTCACAAATATGTGCTACATGCAATCCAGGAGAGCAGAAGTACAAACCCATCAAGTTCCTGCTAGGATGACCACTAGTGGGAATGGGGAAACGCAAAGAGGATCTGTCTCCCAATGGGACCTGGCCACCCCCAGGGCAGAGGATTCAACAGTGTCTATGGAAGGCACTCACAGACAACACGTTCCAAGGAGGCTTCGTGTCACTCCTTATTCCCCCAAATCCAAACAGAATGAAAACCAAAAACACCCTCCACCACTACAAGCCATCAAGAGCTAGCCTTAGGGTTCAGGTGCTAAGGTTATCCTTCAAACACGTCTCGCTCACAGGAGGAGTCAAGGAGGATTTACCCACATTCTTCTTGGACAGGTAAAACTGGTACCATGCAAAGACAAGAAGCAGAAGGGGTCATCATGATACTTGTGCAACAAGATAAAAGCAAACAATACAAGAAAAGGAATGAAAGATGCAAAGGATAGATAAATACACTCTAGAAAAAGAATGAGCTCATAAACCATGAAAACTGTAGACAGAATTGTTCAGCCCTGGAAGAAATAAGAAATCAAAGAGGACAACATAATGAGCTAAGGAAAGAAGGAGATAAAAAATGAGACTAGGCTGGGCAAGGTGGCTCACACCTATAATCCAAGAACTTTGGGAGGCTGAGACCAGCGGATCACTTGAGGTCCGGAGTTTGAGACCAGCCTGGGCAACATGGTGAAACCCTGTCTCTACTAAAATACAAAAATTAACCAGGCATGGTGGCATAAGCCTGTAGTCCCAGTTACTTAGGAGGCTGAGGCAGGAGAAACGCTTGAACTCGGGAGGCGGAGGTTGCAGTGAGCAGAGATCACACCACTGCATTCCAGCCTGGGCACAGAGTGAGACGCTGTCTCGAATAAAATAAAATAAAATAAAATAAAATAAAATAAAATAAAACAAAACTGTAACAGAAGCGGAAGCCACATTACAAGGAACAGTACAGTCAACAGTACAGATCAACATTACAATCAACAGTACAGAAAACTGAGTCAGTCAGTGAAATGGAGGATAAGACTTGAAAAAAATCATACAGCGTGAAGAAAGATGAGATGAGTGGCATCTAAGGAAAGATAACTGTGAAGGACAGATAACAGAGAGCCAATATAAAAATGAAGTTTTCAAGAAGAGAACAGACTAAACTGATACAAAAAGCAGTGAGGCCTGAAATGACCATATCTAATGCTCACTGCATTCCAGAAAAAGGCAACAGACAACAGTCAATCCTGAGATATACTCCATTGAAGTTACTAAATCTCAAGGATAAACAAAGAATTCAAGTATCCAGGGCAAACAATCAGGTCATCTACAAAAGGGGAAGAAAAACCCATCAGGACTCAGACCTCTCAGCACCACCAGATATGGACAACAATAAAGTAGCAATAACACCATGTCTCCAGAGAATTCAAGGAAAAAGGATGTGATCCAGAATCTGATAGCTGGCCAAGTTATTGTTCGTAAGTAACAGCAACAGGAATACATTTGTAAATATGCAAGAAAACCCAACCGAAGCTGTAATCCAGTCTGCAAAAAAGATAAAAACATCAGCTCTCAAATGTGGAGTCTTTGTATGAAAGGGCTGGCAGTGAGCACTGAATTCATTCAGACACAGAATTAAGTCGAAATAACTCTAGTAATTACCTACAGCAATCCACTTTAAGTTGCCTGTCTTTTTTGGTAAAAGCTGCCAAATCCATCTGATTATCTCCTCTAACTATGCCAAAATGGAAACACACAAAAGAAACGCTCTCCTGAACGGAATTAACTTGCTCTACAGATAATTTGGAGTTTAGAGCTTACCCTTTGAGGAACAGTATACTGAAGAAATTCCTCAAAGGAGGTAATACAAATCACCTGGTGTATTGTTTCGAGCACCCAACTGCTCGCTTTGGCCCTTCCATTGACTTACCATGCCACCTTGGCAAACTTAACTGCTTTGGGATTCATACGAAAAACCGAGATATAGCTGCGTGGTTCACCTCATGGCATCGTAAGGATCAAATGGCATGCTGTATGCAAAAGGTCTTTGGAATCTATTCGCAAGGCTGTAAAACTATGTCACACTGTTTGGATGAAAAGAATTCTGTACTCAGGAGCCAAAATCAGATACTGAGAGACTAAAAAAGGACGAGATGGCTCCTGTGGATCTATCCCTCCACTTCCTTTCATTTCTCCACATTTTAAAGTCATCTCTTAGCACTACAAAAAGGAAATTCAGCACTTTCACAGCTCCTGACCTGAACTTCCATACTTTCTTTTTTTTTTTTTTGAGACGGAGTCTTGCTGTGTCGCCCAGGCTGGAGTGCAGTGGCCAGATCTCGGCTCACTGCAAGCTCCGCCTCCCGGGTTTCCGCCATTCTCCTGCCTCAGCCTCCCGTGTAGCTGGGACTACAGGCACCCGCCACCTCGCCCGGCTAGTTTTTTGTATTTTTTAGTAGAGATGGGGTTTCACCGTGTTAGCCAGGATGGTCTGGATCTCCTGACCTCGTGATCCGCCCACCTCAGCCTCCCAAAGTACTGGGATTACAGGCGTGAGCCACCGCGCCCGGCCAACTTCCATATTTTTAATTTAGAGACAAGGATGGTTTAAGAACTTAGAAAGATGTTGCCCTACCACCCAAGGAAGATGTCTGACAGTTTTCTATCTTTGATTCACCTACTATTTATGAATATTATTCACTATTTTAATATTATTTATTAATATTGTTTATTAAGCACCTACTATGTGTCAGGCACTATTTTAAAGAGACACAGTCCCCACTTAAAATCAAATAAATGAGAGAGCAATACAGAACAATGGGAAATAATTTAGCTGAAAAAGGGTCCATGTCTATTTGTGTTACAACCTATGTGGGGAAATCTGACCATTTGCTTATAGGCAAACCCAGTAAACAGCCAGATTCTCTGCCTAAATTAAGAGAATCATGTACAGTTGACAAAAAGGATAAATGAATACTTGGGTAAAGAGGCTAGTAAGCTAGAAGAACACAGATGTTCCTGAAACTCTTCTTGCAGTTGCTTTAGGATTAAAGATAAAATCTTAATGAAGAAAACAAAGACAGGAGAAGCAAGGTTGTACTGGGGTCAGATAGATGTGAGGAAGACAAAAAGTGTGCTAGTAAAGAACTACCGATTAAGTCATGAAGACACTGAAATCAATCTTTACTTTTGAAAAACACTTGTAAAGGGAAGAACGTGATGAGATTTTTCTACACCATATTTTCCATATGCGGCCCCTTACATGGTACTGCTTGTGAGGATGTGGTAATCGATGGGCCTTCCTCAAACAAGAGAAACGCTGTCAGAGCCAGGCAGTAGGCAGCACACCCTAAACTGCTGCTTCCTCTCTCCTACAGTGTATCACACTGGGAAGCATAAAGGAGTATCGTTGGAAATTGAGGCCAAGGAAGATATTACCTCATGTTTATAAGGAAGCTAGGGTCGGCTGGGCGCGGTGGCTCGCACCTGTAATCCCAGCACTATGGGAGGCTGAGGGGGCGGGTCACTTGAGGTCAGGAGTTCGAGACCAGCCTGGTCAACATGGTGAAACCCCGTCTCTACAAAAAAATACAAAAACTAGCTGGGCGTGGTGGTGCACACCTATAATCCCAGCTATTTGGGAGGCTGAGGCACAAGAATTGCTTGAACCTGGGAGGCAGAGGTTGTAGTATGCCAAGATGGTGCCACTGCACTCCAGCCTAGGAGACAGAGTGAAACTGTGTCTCAAAAAAAAGAGGAAGCTAGGGTCTTTGCATGTAAACGACCATTTTTTGGTTTTTTTTTTTTTTTTTTTTACATCTTTTACGCCACACAAAAATAATCATATGGAGCAGTCCCATTCCCAAGACACTGACTCGGTCCTCAGACCTATGGGCTTCCTACGGCCCACCTCTCACCAGTCTCTCGGAAGTACATCAGTATTTCTTTTACCTGATTGATTATATATGAGTTCTCTGATGAGATCCTTCTAAGGATGGAAGAGATGAGCTCTTTCTAAAGATGAATGGAACTACCCTGAGCTCAGGTAATATAACGAAATAAAAGAAAAGCAGATCCAGTGGAATGAAGAGAAATAGGAATGCAATCCAGCCACATGCAGCTGGGCAAAGCACACCTCGTCTTGGGGAGAAATCCCCCACGGTGGTGGGAGTGGGGCTAATTGCATTGGTACTATCATATGACTAAAGCAGGATGAATGGTTTACAAGTCAGAACTTCTACATCAGTGGACTCAACACTTACAAATTGGACTGAAACATTTATACGGACATTAAAACAGGGCGGAAGTCAAAACAGATGATATATATGGAAAATTATCATGAAGAGAAGCACATCCTGTGGAGCTGTATATAGGATGCTGGTATCAATCCGGATTCTTCGATCACTTCTATTCCTAAGGGTAAATATAACATCATTCCTCTTTCCTTATCCCAAATCGTCTGCTAATTCCCACTTCCAACTTTTAGCAAAAAGGATTGTGAAAATCAGACTGAGCTGACAATTCTAAAACTAAGATGAATGAAAATGAAAATTATCAAGACCTGGAGCATTTTTCAAAAATAAACTAGAGAGGCCTTTTCCCTCCGATAGTCTATTTTACAGCTAGTAAAGTGCATCACACAGAAACTTCCAATTCCTTAGAAGACTACAAAGGAATAAAATATGACACAGGTACTGTATTAGATGGATAGAAGTTTGACAGAAGCATAAAAACTCCACTCCACACTCTGTGCAAATGTGGTATTGACCAGGAGGCAGTTTTTCACTTAAGATCTTTGAAACCAAGCAGTTGGGTGAAAAATTCGAAGATAACATTTGGAATGCTTTAATCAACAGAAATATACAAATGAATTTTAAAATAAAACGAAGGCAACAGTGAAGAAGATCTAACATGAAAGTCGCCACAACCTCACAATGAGAATCCGATCAGATGGAAGAAGGCAAAAGCCTAAATCATAGAGTGGCGGAGGGAGGCATGGGAGAGACGGAGGGCTCTGGGACTAAATCATCAGGGCATGGCCAGCTGATGTCTTCCGCTTCCAGGGTCCCAGGGCCCTAGCTGGAGGTTTGGGACAAATATGATATTTGGTCACAAGGAGCAACAGTACGATCTGCTGTATCTGGAATGGGAAAGGCGCACAGAATCCTGGAAGGACTGAAGACATCAGATGCTATGAAAACAAGACGGAGTGTACGAGGGCACAAGAGCTGTAAGGAGGCTCGGTGCTCTTCGGTGACAGGCATCAATCACACCACAACAAGATGTCATAAAAAAGTTACTACTTTAGTGGAAGATCTGGAGTAGCTACAGGAAAAGCTCCTTGGGAAAGTCCAGGTGGTACAGAGAAAATACACATTCAAGCACTAGGAATAACTATGATGCCACGCTCAGAGCAGGGAGAAAGCAGTTCTCTCTGGTTGACTTGCAGAAGGCAATCTTTCTTCACAGAGAGGACCAGAGCATTCAGTCCTCTAGAAAGTTCTATTAGTCTTGATCTTGTCCCTACAAAGAAAACAATGAGAATATCCATAGTGAGTTTGTGAGTACAACCTCCTCTGTTTTGACCAGGACTTAGAGCATTTCATTATAGTGATAATTCAAAAACCCTTGCCGTATCTCAGAATTATTTTCTACAATTACTACAGAAACAGAATGACCATTTAATTACTTACATATACTTTAAAACGGTTCTTTACTGTCAGTGAAAACTCTGGTTAGATATAGAGTGACTGCTAAAAAGTATGAGGTTTCTTTTGGGGGTGATGAAAATATGCTAAAGTTAGATAGTGGGAAGGGCTGCACAACTCTGTGAATATAGTAAAAAATATGGAATTGTATACTTTTATTTATTTATTTATTATTGAGACGGAGTCTCGCTCTGCCGCCCAGGCTGGAGTGCAGTGACAAGATCTTGGCTCATGGCCACCTCTGCCTCCTGGGTTCAAGCAATTCTCGTGCCTCAGCCTCCCAAGCAGCTGGGATTACAGGCGCCCGCCACCGCCATCCGGCTAATTTTTGTATTTTTAATAGAGATGGGGTTTTGCCATGTTGTCCAGGCTGGTCTTGAACTTCTGACCTCAAGTGATCCACCCGCCATAGCCTCCCAAAGTGCTGGGATTACAGGCGTGAGCCACTGTGCCTGGCCAGAATTATATATTTGTAAAGGGTGAAATTTATGTTGTGTGAATTAATCTCAATAAAACTCTTACTTAGAAACTGTTTTGAAAACAAATTTTCTTAGAATCTCCCATGTATAAATACCTAGTGAATTTACCATACTTACTAAATTCTTTCCCCAAATCTCTACTGATTATTTGTACAGTTTAACAATTTTAATTGTCAGGCTAAGCATTTTAAAATTTTAAGAATTGCTTTCTGCTTAAATTTGTTCATCTAATAACATATGAGAAGTTAAGACTAATACTTAATTAGCATACAACCTGAACTACTTAGTTTTAAAATTGCCTTTAAAATAATATTCAGTTAAAGCCACCTTTTTACAACCAAACATTTTTCTAAAGATGGCTTCTGCACTACTCAAATTACTCCACATATCAGAGCAATAGTTTGAACCGTTTGAATCAACCGGTCACAGTGATGCTCAACATACTATTTGACATACATACAGACTGAAAATGGAATCAACAGAAATTGGTATGATCCAGGTATTTCAAGCTGATTTAGCTTAAACTTGGCTGGGAATAGTGAGAGTATGTATGTTTGTGTCCACAAACCAAACTTCTCTAAACTTCATCATTTGAGATGAGTGGCCAGTCCAGCAATATTGTATAGCAGTCCACCATGACACTTCCATAGAAAAAAATAAACATCCATATGGATATCATTTATAACACTTGTCAGAGAAGACCAATGCTACTAAATGGTACAATATTGCAAAGCTATATAAACTGTATTTGTATACAAATATCTTTCTGTTGCATTATGCTAAAGTTGTTAAAAAAAATCAAGGTTTTCAGAGTAATAAGAAATATATACAGTTAAAATATATTGGGGAGAAACATTACAGTGCTAAAATAGAATAAAATATCAATATGAACTTATGATTTAAAATATATTTTAAATATAGCTATATTTTATAGCTCTGTCCAGGAAAAGGTATGCCTAGAAAAGGTATGCCTAGAAAAAAAAGCTCTGCCTAGAAAAGGTATAACAAGCATTCTCAATTCTAAGATTAGCATCTCTAATACTGATTAAAAAGAAATAGGGCTGGTCGCCGTGGCTTATGCCTGTAATCCCAACACTTTGGGAGGCTGAGGCAGGCAGATCACCTGAGGTCAGGAGTTCGAGACCAGCCTGGCCAACGTGGTGAAACCCCATCTCTACTAAAAATACAACAACAAAAAAAAGTAGCCAGGCGTGGTGGCTCATGCCTGTAGTCCCAGCTACTTGGGAGGCTGAGACACAAGAATCGCTTGAACCCAGGAGGCGGAGGCTGTAGTGAGCTGAGACTGAGCCACTGCACTCCAACCTGGGTGACAGAGTGTGACTCTGTCTCAAAAAAAAAAAAAAAAAAAAGAAACAAGACTCCTTGGGGGAGAATAGTTGATTCCAGGACGCGGGCACAGAAGGTATAAGATGAACCTAGGATATCATCTTGGGCAAGAAACGCTTTCAAGGCAATAGAACACAAAGGATCCAGCTGGAAATAGCTCTCACTGGCCAAAGGTATGTCAATTCAAGCATCAAAAAGGAAATGACTGTTACATACAATAACATGGATGAATCTCACATAAAGCCAGACACAAAAGGGTATAGACTATGTGTTCCTTTTAAGTTCAAGAAGAGAACCTACGGTGACAGAGTTAGAAAAGTAATTATATGGTGGAGGAGGGAGGGAGAAGTGTTAGACTAGAAAGGAGTCTTTGGGGGTAGAGGAAATATAGATGTAAAAAAAAAAGCTGTAAACTTAAGATGTGTGCACTTTACTATTACTACATGTTATGCTTCAATAAAATAAGTGCCAATTAAAACATATCAAAGTAACAAAATCTATAATACTACTAAAAAAGACAAAGCCATAAACTCATTTGTTACCATTTAAGGTGGCTTTTAACATATTTCTTACCTGGAAAATTGGTAACTTGAAGGGAATTTAATTGTCCCTTTAAATGTAAAAGGAAGGAGTTAAACACTTATCAGAGGAACTATACTTCAAAATACCTAAATGGCCTTATTTGATGAGGAAGAGCTTTACTTTATAGGAGAATAATTGACAAAGGAATCATTTTTTTAAACATCCTTTTATAAACCCAAATAAAATTACTGTATTAATTTTAACACAGGCCAAAATGATCAATTGGGGTAAAAGCCATTAGGTGAACAGCTGATGGGTAAGTATACATTTGCATAGTGCCAAAATAACACCACACAGATTATTTTCTAGTGAAAAGGGGAAAAATAACTATAACTCAGAGGGATCAGACAGCCATCACCTAAACTATGCTCAATCATAACATCACTAATGGTGGGTCATGAGATGTCATGGGTCTCATAGTGTAATTCTGCAACAGTGCTTATGGATATTCTAGCAAAAAATGTTCCATTAGCTCTTTCTTTCTTTCCTTCCCTCTCTTTCTTTCTTTCTTTCTTTCTTTCTTTCTTTCTTTCTTTCTTTCTTTCTTTCTTTCTTTTTCTTTCTTTTTCTTTTCTTTCTCTTTCTTTCTTTTTCTTTCTTTCTTTTTTTTTTTTTGACAGAGTCTCACTCTGTTGCCCAGGCTGGGGTGCAGTGGCACATTCTCAGCTCACTGCAACCTTTGCCTCCTGGCTTCAAGTGATTCTCATTCCTCAGCCACCTGAGTAGCTGTGATTACAGGCGTGCACCACCACGCCTGGCTAATTTTTGTATTTTTAGTAGAGACAGGGTTTTGCCATGTTGTCCAGGCTGGTCTCGAACTCCTGACCTCAAGTGATCTGCCCACCTCGGTCCCCCAAAGTGCTGGGATTACAGGCATGAGCCACCGCACCCAGCCGCCATTAGCTTGTAATGAACTCCCAATTTATAGAAAATACAGGGAATGGGGAATAAGCTAAATGACATTTCAAAGAAGAAATTAAACAAATCAAGGTAGGATACTTTTTCAGTACAACTGGCATGGTCTCTCAATAACGAAATGCAACCTAAGTATCCATCAACAGATGAATGGATAAAGAAAATGTGATGTGTATGTGTGTGTATATATGTATGTGTGTGTGTGTGTGTGTGTATATATACACATATATACACAGATACACATACAATGGAGTACTATTCAGCCATAAAAAAGAATGAAATCCAGTCATTCGCAACAACATGGATAGAACTAGAAGTCATTATGCTAAGTAAAATGAGCCAGGCGCAAAAACATAAACTTCACATGTTCTCACTTATTTGTGGAATCTAAAATTCAAAGTAATTGAAGTCATGGACACAGTGAGTAGAAGAATGGTTACCAGAGGCTGGGAAGGGTAGTGGGAGGGTTGAGGAGAAGTGGGGATGGTCAATGGGTACAAAAAAATAGAAAGAATGAAAAAGACCTACTATTTGATAGCACAATAGGGTGACTACAGTCAACAATAACTTAATTGTATATTTTGAAATAACTTAGAGAATGTAATTGGATTGTTTGTAACTCAAAGGATAAATGCTTGAGGGGATGGATGCCCCATTCTCCGTGACGTGCTTATTTCACGTTGCATGCCTGTATCACAACATCTCACGTACCCCAGAAATATATACACCTACTATGTACCCACAAAACTTTTTTAAATTAAAAGACAATAACAACAACTTGAGACTACCCAGATGTGTTATGTGGTCCTGGAATAGATCTCGGTTTAGACAAATCAGGTGAATGATTATTGACATGGAAAGATGGGATGGTTAAATGAAACAAAAGCAGGTTGTAAAACAGTATGAATAGTGTAATCTCATTTGCAAAAAAATACATATATACACAAATGGCAAAATGTCTGGAAGAACATACAGAAGCTATAGCAGTGGCAATGTCTGGGTTTTGGGAACACAGAGGTCTCTCCTTTCTTTTTTGGCTTACTTATGTCCTCTATTTTTTCTTTTCTTTCTTTTTTTTTGAGATGGAGTCTAGCTCTATTACCCAGGCTGGAGTGCAGTGGTACTATCTTGGCTCACTGCAACCTCCGTCTCCTGGGTTCAAGCAATTCTCCTGCTTCAGCCTCCCAAGTCGTTGGAATTACAGGCGCGTGCCACCACACCCAGCTAATTTTTGTATTTTTAGTAGAGACCGAGTTTCCCCATATTGGCCAGGCTGGTCTTGAACTCCTGACTTCAAGTGATCCATCCACCTCAGCCTCTCAAAGTGCTGGGATTACTGGCATGAGCCACTGCGCCCAGACAACGTTTTCTTATTTTTTTATAATGCACATATACTGCTTTTTTGTTAATACAGGATTATTTTAAGTTAAATGAAGCAGAACCCTACTGTTGCTAGTAGAGTTGAAGCTTAAGGGTAGGTAGTCAGAAGAAAACTACAGATTATTTTCCTTATTACCATAAAACAGTGAAACTTCTTCTGTGATTGATAACTTTTCCTTTATAATGTTTAAATTTTTTATTGTGATAAGCTACACATAACATAGAACTTACCATCTTTTTCTTGTTTGAGACACGGTCTTGTTCTGTCCCCCAGGCAGGTGTGCAGTGGTGCAAATCATAGCTCACTACAGCCTGGAAGTCCTGGGCTCAAGTGATCCTCCCGCCTCAGCCTCCTGAGTAGCTAGGACTACAGACACACACCACCACACCTGGCTAATTTTACCTTTTTAAATTTTTTGCTGAGACGGGGTCTCACTATGTTGCCTAGACTGGTCTCGAACTCCTGGCTTCAAGAGATCATCCAGCCTCAGCCTCCCAAAGTGTTGGGATTACAGGCGTGAGCCACCACACCCAGCCCAGAACTTACCATCTTAACCATTGCTACACGTACAGTTCAGTGGCATTGAGTACATTCACACTGTTGTGCAAGCATCACCACCATCCATCTCCAGAAGTTTTTCATCTTTCCACCTGAAACTCTGTACCCATGAAACAATGACTCCCCATTCCCTCTTCCTCGCTAGCACCTGGCAACCTCCCTTCAACTTTGTGTCTCTGCATTTGACTACTCTAGGTACCCCACATAAGTGGAATCATAGTATTTGTCCTTTTATGTCTGGCTTATTTCACTTAGCATAATGACTTCAAGATTCACCCATGTTGTAGCACATATCAGAATGTCCTTCCTTTTTAAGGCCGAATATTATTCCATTGCATGAACTGATCACCTTTTATCTTGATTGATCATTTTAACTTATTTTTCATTTTCAATCTATAACGTTTATGATGACAAACTGCAAATTTAATTGCTTTTTAAATAAAATTCATGGCAGGCCAAATCCCTGCTCGCTGTTGTGAATACCTCTACAGTGCAAGAATTCCTGGAACAGTGAGTGGGACACCTTTACTCAGACAAATCAGATACTTTGTAATGGAAATCAAAGTGGTATATTACTGTTTCGCTTTGTATTTTGAAGCATCCCTGGGTTCACTGCTGGGATTGCTCCAATCGTCGGCTTCAGGCGTGGTCTTGTAATGGCGCCATGCGGACTTATTAAAAACTGGAAGTCTCTCAAATGACTCACTTGAAAGAGCCTATTGGAGAAACAAAAATATACATCAAAGGTCCACAGTGTCATTTTCTCAAGTGAAATAGTAACCCAAATTTTATTATGTAAAACATCAGAAACTTTAATACATATTTTCAAAATGATATTAAAAATACACCTTAGTAGTTTACTTAGACTGGCCAGGAAAACATTAAACCTTTTTTAAAGGAATGAAAACATTTGCTCATTCAAAATCAGAACTGAAATACACATGACCAGAACAAAACATATTTTAATTCAGCTCATACTGCTTTGATCAACTATTTTTACTATACCTGGTGATTGGTCTCACAAAAGGCCCAGGAAGAAATAAAGTCTCATGCATCCCAGGTTTATAAACACACACCATCAAGTGATATTAAATATCACATTACTTAGAGGCATGGGCATCTAAGATAAATACTCCCAATAACTGGTTAAATTCTGGTGTCACATACACAGGTTGAGTATCCCTTTGAAATGCCTGGGAACAGGCCTGACACAGTGGCTCACACCTGTAATCCCAGCACTTTGGAGGCTGAGGCAGGTGGATCACCTGAGGTTAGGAGTTAGAAACCAGCCTGGCCAACATGGTGAAACCCTGTCTCTACTAAAAATACAAAAAAATTAGCCGGGTGTGGTGGCGCGCACCTGTAATCCCAGCTACTCAGGAGGCTGAGGCAGGAGCATAGCTTGAACCCAGGAGGCGGAGGTTGCAGTGAGCCAAGATAGCGGTACTGCACTCCAGCCTGGGTGACAGAGCGAGACTCCGTCAAGAAAAGAGAAGAGAGAGAAGAGAAGAGAAGAGAAGAGAAGAGAAGAGAGAAGAGAGAAGAGAAGAGAAGAGAAGAGAAGAGAAGAGAAGAGAAGAGAAGAGAAGAGAAGAGAAGAGAGAAGAGAGAAGAGAGAAGAGAGAAAAGAGAAAAGAGAAGAAAAGAAAAGAGAAGAAAAGAAAAGAAAAGAAAAGAAAAGAAAGAAAAGAAGGAAGGAAAGAAGGAAGGAAAGAAAGAAATGCTTGGGACCAGAAGTAGTTCTGATTTTTTCTGATTTTGGAATATTTGCATTGTGCTTACCTGTTAAGCATCCCTAATCTGAAAATCTGAAATCTGGAGTACTCCAATAAGCATTTCCTTTAAGCTTGACCTTTGAGCAAGCATCACATTGGCGCTCAAAAAGTTCCAGATTTTCAAGCATTTTGGATGGCAGATTCTTGGGTGAGGGATGCTTGACCCGCAGTAGCATGTTATGCCACTGTTTAAAAGAATGAGCCAGTTCTACATAAACTGTTCTGGAAAGATCTCCAAGACAGATTGGAAAGTAAAAAAAATAAGAAGGTGCTGAAATTTCATTTATGTGGGAAAAATTCTATTTTTCCCATATTTATAAACGTAGAATCAACTCTAGGAGGAACCGTAAGACGCTAAGACCTGTGGTGATCTCCGCTGAAGAGAACTGGTGGTTTAGGGCCAGTGGGAGGAGAGACTAATTTTTCCTTTTGCAGCTTTTAAATTTTTATTATGTGTCTATATTACCCATTCAAAAAAATGTTACAAATATTCTAGAGTTTAGAAATAAAAGTCCAATTATCACCAATGAATAAGAAAGACAGTGTTACAGAGAAGTTTGTTATGAAATGAACCTTTTATCTAACCATATTATGATTACTGAATTCTTGTAACTTTGGGAAAGCCAGTGAGTTTTTAAAACCAAAGACCAAAATACTTCAGTTTATGAAAATCTACCTCCTTTTAGATCAGATCTTTCAACAGGCATGCAGTTTTTTAAGTCACAATTTAAAATTATAGTTTTAAAAATCAGCATTTTAATTTTTTTTTTTCTCTTTTGAGACGGAGTCTCATTCTATCGCCCAGGCTAGAGTACAGCGGCACCGTCTTAGCTCACTGCAACCTCTGCCTTGCGGGTTCAAGTGACTCTCCTGCCTCAGCCTCCTGAGAAGCTGGGACTAGAGGCGTGCACCACCACACCAGCTAATTTTTTGTATTTTTAGTAGACATGGGGTTTCACCATGTTGGCCAGGCTGGTCTCGAACTACTGACCTCAGGTGATCTGCCCACCTCAGCCTCCCAAAGTGCTGGGATTACAGGCATGTGCCACCGTGCCTGGCCAAAATCAGTATTTTAATTTCTATACCTCCACGTTTCATATTTTGCTATACCTGAGCATAGAATCAAGGGTGAGGCATAACATGGTTTTCATGGGTAAGTGAAGTAAATCTGCGATGAATCTAAGAGACGATCGCTATTCTCAATCAGTGATTAGAACTTAAAGCTTTAAAAAGCAAAGATGCCTCATACTAACAAATAAAATGCAGTACCTTCAAATAAATGACAGCATCAGTACCCACTCCTTCCATGGAATACAGTTTCAGATCTCCTTGAAAATATCTAGCATACAGACGGGAAATTGGCAAACCATAACCAAATCCAGCCTATTGAGAAAAGAAAATTAATACAGTGAGACATGCACAAATGCTAACACATTTTATATGATGACCATTCAGAGAAGGTTAAAATAAATTCTTGATTCAGATTTAAATCAAAGAAATTACTGACTCAACCTTTACAATGATGTATATCCTCTTCTATGGCAAACAACCTCTTTATTTTCACCCTGCAAAAACATGTCTTATATGTTTGGATAATAATAAAAACATTCTATTTTTTGACTAATACTTTTTTAGCATTTAAAAGCAAAGTTTTATCATTTTTAAAAAGCACATTCCAAGGCTGGGCACGGTGGCTCACACCTGTAATCCCAGCACTTTGGGAGGCTGAGGCAGGTAGATCACTTGAGGTCAGGAATTCGTGACCAGCCTGGCCAACATGGCGAAACCCCGTCTCTACTACAAAAATTAGCTGGGCGAGGTGGTGGGAGACTGTAGTCCCAGCTACTCAGGAGGCTGAGGCAGGAGAATCGCTTGAACCTGGGAGGTGGAGGTTGCAGTGAGCTGAGATGGCACCACTGCACTCCAGCCTGGGTGACAGAGCGAGACTCCATCTCAAAAAAAAAAAAAAAAAAAAAAAAAAAAAAAAAAAAAAAAAAAAGCACATTCCAAATCAAGAGGAATGTGACCTGATGACAAAACTAAACCACATCATTTCAACGTCCCACGATCAGATTTCCCTGCTCTTAGAACTGAAAATCAATAGCGCAGTGCTGAGTGCAAATCTACCAGTAACAAAATGAGAACACGGAAAGGAAAACAATTTTCTGAGAGGCAACTTCTAAGGTTCCAGGAATGTGAGAATATTTTGGTATATTATAGTTCAGATATTTTTAGAGATTAAAAAAATTTTCAGTACCCTCCTATATCTCCATGTCATGGAACTCTAACTGTCAGGGAGAAAAAAAAAGGTCTCAGGTATGGACAAGAACAATACGAATCGAAACTAAATGTAATATCGTTTGCGGTGGCAGTGGGGCAGGGTGTGGAAGGAGATATTTTAACACCAAGCTTCCTCACTTCTGGTTAAATCTATGAACAAGGTTAAGGAAGGAGGGCAGGGGACCATGTGCATAGAGTCACATGGGCCTTAGACTCAGACAGACCCAAGTTGAAATCCACTTTGTGTGTGACTCTGAGCAGTTTGCTCAACCTCTTTGAGACCAATTTTTCATCTGAATATATGATTTTAAAAAAAAACTGGCCGGGCGCGGTGGCTCAAGCCTGTAATCCCAGCACTTTGGGAGGCCGAGACGGGCGGATCACGAGGTCACGAGATCGAGACCATCCTGGCTAACATGGTGCAACCCCGTCTCTACTAAAAAACACAAAAAACTAGCCGGGCGAGGTGGCAGGCGCCTGTAGTCCCAGCTACTCGGGAGGCTGAGGCAGGAGAATGGCGTGAACCCGGGAGGCGGAGCTTGCAGTGAGCTGAGATCCGGCCACTGCACTCCAGCATGGGTGACAGAGCAAGACTCCGTCTCAAAAAAAAAAAAAAAAAAAAAACTGACCTCAGAGCTGCTATAAGGATTAAATAATATAACAAGTATCAAATCTTAGCACAGTGCTTACCACAGTAAAACTAAATAAATCGAAGCTGGTACTCTAGCTACTGGAAGCAGCAATTTTATGAAGTTACATGGATTTCTGCCCTTTTCTAACATCTCTCCTTGATACCTTCTCTCAGGGTAGCGTCTAACTGAAAGGGCAGAGGGTAAAAGAACATACTCCATTATTTGAGGGCTTTAGGACTTGCTGAATATGGCCAGTAGTGAAGATGAGATATCTATAGCAGTGACTCAGGTAACCACAGCAAAGAAACTAGCTCACTCTAGGAAGAGATGTGAGGAAATCTGCCTTCTATGCTCAAGCAAGGCCCAGAGCCTGCCCTCAGGTCCAACACAGAACAGGCGAGAGCTCCGAGGCCAATGCAGATGTGAGTGTAAGCCCAGACTCCCAGAGTGCAGAGGAGGGGTCTGGACCTCGGATTGGCTGAGGTTCAGGAAAGGTTTCCCAGAGGGTCAAAGCATCAGCAGGAGTTCGCTGGGTGGATATTCTCACAACAGAAATGCAAGTGTAAAGGTACAGAGGTGTAAAAGTGCAAGTTGCTCAATGAGGAAATTATGTTTTCTAGTGGTACATATCCATGTGCCCACTTTAAAGCTGAGGAGAGTTTCTTTTTCTTTCTTTTTTTTTTTTTGAGGCAGAGTCTCGCTCTGTCGCCCAGGCTGGAGTGCAGTGGCATAATCTTGGCTCGCTGCAACCTCCACCTCCCAGGTTCAAGCAATTCTTGTGCCTCAGCCTCCTGAGTAGCTGGGATTACAAGCGTGCGCCACTGCTCCTGACTATTTTCATGTATTTTTAGTAGAGACCGGGTTTCACCATGTTGGCCAGGCTGGTCTCGAACTCCTGACCTCAAGTGATCCACCCGCCTTGGCCTCCCAAAGTGCTAGGATTACAGGCCAGTTTCTTAACTGGGAGAGCCACTCGTGGAAGCATTTCTTCAAAAGGAAAGGCCACATAGTACACTGGAAAGAACACAGACATGGCCAGCACCAGCTCTGCAGTTCATTAGTTCAGTGACTTTGGGCAAGGTCATTTCCTCATTTCCTCATCTATACAATGGGAGTGTGCGTGCGTAATTTTTAAAGGTCTCTTACAAGTCCCCAGTTCCTCAAGATGCTATTTTAAGACCTGGGAGAGACTATCTATATTTCTTTTAAACAACTGGGGAAGGTGCTAGATTTGTTTGTGCTGCCTTTTTTCCTTTTGATGTGTATTTAAGTGCATGCCAGAGCCTAGTCAAGGCAATGCCTCTCAAACGTGATCTTTCATGAATTTTCTCGAATCCTATATAAATGATTTCCTGTTTCCAACATGCTGAGTTAACAAACTCTGTCTCAAATAAAGGATGCAAAGTGTTTGATTTTATTCATACAAATAAAATATAATCTTATGTGCTTATCAGTCAGGTAGGACTTTAAAATGAAACTTAATTTATACCCTGAACCATTTTGCAGACTGATAGATATGTTGCTGTGTTTAATGACAAAGGGTTCAATTGTTGTTTGTCAATTAGAAACACTCAGCAGGGGAAGCAAGTGTGGCCCTACCAGGATCTAAATGCTACCATGGTAACCAGAGGCTTTTCTCACTGCCTTAATAGGGCTGAAGGTTATTTCCAGAGTGAGACAGAAAGGGCTCTGAAAACGCATACACTACCTATATGTTTCATGCTAATGTTATTTAATATAAAAATTTAATGTTTCCATAATTTAACATTTTAATTATATAACAAATTTGACAGTGGAGATTCCAAGGCACTAGGTGATTCGCGCCTCTGTGGTATGCACGCCAGAGTGTGCAGGACCAAGCGGCAGCTATGCATTCAGTACTGTCCCTTTGCTCACCCACTGGTAACTTCTACCCCTTCCAAGGGTAGCACAAAGTGGAAAATGGTGCTCCAGTAGCAGTCTTACCACGATGAGGTACTTTTTCTCTGTATTTGGGAGTGAGGCACTCAGCTCGGAGTGTTTCTTAGAGATAAATCAGAGAGGAAATAGAAGTACAAAGAAAGTAGCCAAGGCAAAAAATTCCCCCTCCTCCAAACCGCAACATTCTAAATCAACTACACTAATGTGACAACCTGGGGAGAGAGGCAGCTCCCTCTGAGCCCCTTCCCGTGTTTATGATCTTTCCTTCAGCAGCAGTTTGAGATGCTTACCAAAGGGGCAGCTCTGGTAGGCTCCAGGCTGGGTCTAGGAGCAGTCGAATACATGTAGTTAAAAAGACGATCTATTTTTCGAAGTGGGACACCACCGCCTAGGTCACTGATCTGCAATGTACAAAATGTTAACAATCAAAACAAAGAAGTTGATCTATACTTAGTAGGAGGCAATGGGTTCATTAAATAAAGTACATAGCAGATTACTCTAAAATGTACAAGGACTTTGAATCCCCAGTGACATATGGTTCCTTTGTGAACAGTGTAAAGCAAAGGTGGCCGAATCGTACAGTAGGATCCAACAGGCTTGGTGTTGAGGTCTTGTTCAACTCCATGAATAACAAGGTTCTAATGAAGTTTAAATAAGGTAACTTAAGCCAAGGATCTAGCATAGAACTTACAAATAGGACACTCAATAAATGTCAATTTTCTTCCCTCTGATTTTTCAATGTCTAGATACTATTAAATCACAACTGATAATTAAAGTATACATGCACATAAAACAGTTACCTTAATGGATAAGTCTTCTTTACCCAAAGTAACGAGGGTTTTAACAGCGGGGTAGCCCTCTTTTCTGTCTTCATAGAGTTCGACTGTCGCTCTCATTGAGTTCTAAAATAATAAGATCTTTTTGTTAATCATACTGCCGAATCACAAACCACAATTTTTAAAGAGAAAGAAGTGCAAGATGACTTATACCCAACAACCCTTTTTTGGGGCAAATATTAGTTGGATTTTTATGGCACTTTTCCCTCTAAAGAGCTTAGCTAAACGTGCTCAAATCAAGGAAAAATCTCCTGACACTTTGTTTTTCACCTAGTTTTAGCCTCATCCAACATGCTAAATATTTATTTTTCTCTCCTTCTTCTTCTTCTTTTTTTTTTTTTCTGCTTTACGGTATTTAAATTATTCAACTCAATCCAGAGGAATGTTTTTATCGCATGTAATGAGGCTATGCAGAGGCTCATTTGTGTACTTTAAATCCTATTTATCAGTCTGCATTTATAGAGCACCTTTTCTCTAAAGGAGGCAGAAAAACTGAAAGGATGCATGCTTCCCACAAAAATTAATCATTTGGCTGAAAAAAGTAGAAGAAATATTGGTTAAAAAGAAATTCTGAAAAAGCCACAGCTGCTGAAGAGAAAGTTCACAATTGAATGCCCATTTCAACCTTAAAGCATTACATCAGTAACACTCTAATTTTTGGAAGCAAATCAGCATAACTGATTTTTCAGGTGTTCAATTTAGTGTTTCACGCATTGGAAGAAATGAAATTGTAGCTCAAATGCCTTGTGCCTGTAATACTGCTACTGTAAATGTCATTAGCTACTGATTAACAAAAGCAACAGCTTAAGTTGCAGAGTCTAAAGAATTTGGTGGGGTGGTGGGGGCTGGTTCTTTTGGTCCAGCTCATCTACATCTTTCTCTGCCTCTCTTAGATCTTCTGAATTGATTCAAATATTTTATAAAAGGGTTGCAGGATCTCTCAGGATTGGAACAACCACTAATGTACCAGTGTGGTTAATTTTCAGAAGCATAAATATGTATAAACATGTTTTTATTTTGATCTGGCTACCACCAATAAAGCCTTTGCCAGGTTTGGAAACTAAAAAGCATCTCTAATCTCATAACTAAAGAAAAAAACAGTATGGATTTTACATAAAATCACTAAAGTGCAATTAAGCCTCAAAATCGATATGTACTAATATTCACGAAAACTATACTGTACACAGCAATTTTTCATCTCACAGTGTACAAATTATAAAACCCACAGGATATCAGAAATAGAATTTTTAAAATGGTTATGCAAAACCTTTTTCTTATGCTAATCTAATGAATCCATTATGCTCTGAATCAAAGTAATTTAAAATGAAGACTTCTTTCCATGTTTTTAAAATTCCACTTACCTTGAACAACTCAAATAGCATATGAAACAGATGTGAGGGCACATAAACCACCTGAATAGGTTTGTCTGGCGCTTTGGCTGAAAACAGAGACAAAACCATCAATCAATAAGGACCCAAACTAGGAGAAACTCAAGAATGATGTTTGCACTCTATTTTCCAAGTGTGTAAAACACAGCTCTATAAAAGGCTAACTTGGGTTTCCACCTCTAAAGGCAGGGCTGAGCAAAAGCATATGCTTTGGAATCAAACAAACCTGGGGTGAAACCCCGTTCCTTCACTTACCAGCTATGTGACCTTGGATAAATCACTCAATCTCTTTGAAACTTTGTTGAGCAGAATTGGAATATTATCACCTATGCCATAATATCCTGAGTATTACAGAAGGCCAGACAGATATCACTGGGTGTTTTTCAAATTGGGGGCTACCTTCTGCCACTGACCCCAGGGGGAATTCCATGGGGAATGTGGAGCAACAGGGAAAATAAACAAAGGGCTGGTGAACTGGACTAAATGGCAGTGTTCAATTTTGTTAAATTATGACAAACAAGACGTCTTATAGCATAGAATGTAAGGTTCACGTAACTTTTTCTCAAGCAGCTAGCAGATAAACCCCTAGAGACCTACGATTTTTTCCCCTTGCACCATGGATCGTCTGAAGAAAATCTGAGAAACACCAAAACCCGGGTCAAGCACTAAGAAGAGTGTGGGATACAGAGTAGATGCTCAAAAATATAGTCCTTCTTCCTCCTCATGACCCAAAATCACTTAAGAGATTGAAACTACATGAACTCTCTCAGGTAGAATGCTGTCATTTCGACCAGCTACTTCCTCTAATAAAGTAATTAACAATAATATAAATTAGAGTTCACATTTGCTTGATTCTTAGCAGTCTACAAAGAGCTTTCACATACATTATTCAATTGACTCCTCCTGACAACATTTCCTGGCTCCTAGCAGGGTGGTGGTGTTTAGCGGTGTGGAAACAGGCTTTGGGAAGCCTGTGTGACTTGCCCATGGTCCCAGAAGTGGCACCGAAACTGGACACCTGAACCGAGAGCTTTTGATTCTAATCCTGAACTCTTCAAAGAGCAATTATTTTTATTTTTATTTATTTATTTTTTGAGACAGTCTTGCTCTGTTGCCCAGGCTGGAGTGCAGTGGCGCCATCTCGGCTCACTGCAACCTCCACCTCCCAGGTTCAAGCGATTATCCTGTCTCAGCCTCCTGAGTGGCTGGGATTACAGGTGTGCGCTGCCACTCCTGGCTAATTTTTGTATTTTTAGTAGAGACGGGGTTTCCCCATGTTGGACAGGCTGGTCTCGAACTCCTGACCTCAGGTGTTCGCCCACCTCGGCCTCCCAAAGTGCTGGGATTGCAGGCGTGAGCCATTGCGCCTGGCTCCTTTATTGTCATTCTAATGGGGCTCGAGGAACAAGCTGGGTACTCAGTTTATCTTGTACCAAATGGCATCATTAGTTACATAAACAGCCTTATGAATTCAACATTTTCACCCCAAATCTCAAGAAAAGGCAAATGCCTTTTATATAGTGGGGTTTTTTTTGTTTTGTTTTGTTTTGTTTTTTCAGTTTAAACAACATTCTCTAGGAGCCATCTAAAGGCTTGCTCAATTACTTGCACTTTTCTTTGGGAACATTATAGTTTAGATTTCTTTCCTTCCTTTTAAAACCATGTCAGATGTTTTTGTCCATGACTCTTTCCTAGTTCTGGGTCTCGAGGCTGGCTGTTAAGTAGTAGATGCTTAATAGATGTTTGCTGACTTATAAATAAGTAGAATATGAATTTTCCATCTAAGGGCACATTTTAAAAAGTCAATTAAAAAAATGGCCTAGGTTTGTCATGTTTAAGACTCCAGAAATAATAAAGTCTCTATTTTGTACAATCATTGCTCCAAATGCCATTAGTTGAAACAGCATTTAAGAAATACCATTAGATATAAGGAATTTTATTTCCAGACAGTTCTCCTTCCAAAATAAAAAAGCATCCACTTAAGGTGTTCAGGATCAACCTCCAACCTGCATCTCCAACATAGAACTTGTTAAGGCAAAAGCACATTCCTTAATCATGTTCACAGAGAGCTCTAGCATTAAGAAATTATACATAAAAATAATCACTACACTACCCAAAGCAACATAAAGCTAGAGGCTACCTAGAAACACCAGCATTCATTTATCTTAGTGATAGGACAAGGGGCTTCAGAACATGATTGAAAGGGGGCTTCTGTAATTCGTGAGACAATGCCAAAAAGAGTCGGAAAGCTCCTCTCCTGGTGGGTGAGCTGCCCAGCATGACAGCCTCAGTGGGGACGGAATGTGCTGACATGGCTGGCACTTGGGAATCAGCAAGAACAGGCCTGCTGCTTTGGCCTTTAGAATGAGGGAGGCTGCCACTCACGCAAAAGAGCAATTTGTTACTACCTGTGGATGTGAGGTCAGCTCCTGCCTAGTTCGTATGAAGAGAGAGAGAGAATATTAAGATGGTTCTCATCAGGAACACTCCAGACAAGCCCACTTGGTCCTGGTAGTGTATTTATTCAATGGGGATATGACTCTTCTCAGAGAACTCAAGAGACCTTGAAAGCAGCTTTGACTTCATGCCTTCTAGTCAAATGGAGGGGCCATGTCCTTCAACAGCAGCCTGAACTCCTTTCATAGTTTAATCTCATTATAAGAGAAATACATTTTTAATGTACTTCTGAGGGGGAATTTGGTTTATCTTTCTTTTTTTTTTTTTTTTTTTTTGAGACAGGGTCTTGCTCTGTCACCCAGGCTGGAATGCAGTCATGTGATCTCGGCTCACTGCAGCCTCTTACCTCCTGGGCTCAAGCGATCCTCCCACTTCAGCCTCCTGAGTAGCTGGGATTACAGACACATGCCACTATGCCCAGCTAATTTTTCTATTTTGTGTAGAGACAGGGTTTTGCTATCTTGCCCAGGCTGGTCTCGAACTCCTGGGCTCAAGAGATTCTCCTGCCTCAGCCGCCCAAAGTGCTGGGATTACAGGTGTGAGCCACCATGCCTGGCCTGGTTTATCTTTAATTGTAAATGCTCACACCCCGTCATTCCACATCTAGGAATCCAACCTGCAGAAATACTTTCATATGTTCACAAATTTTTCCACCCTCCCCACCTCTCACACTCTTTCATAGCTCATTATATGGAATATAGGAAAACCGGAAATCCTAAATGTATACCCATAGGAAAATAGTTAAATAAATTATGGTAAGCTACACTATGGATAATCTCTAAATGAGATTAATACTTGCAAAGGTCTTCAAGGTGAAGTGAAAAACACGTTATAAATAGGGTTAAAGCTATACATGCTTTATGCAAAAACCAAAACTCTGTATGGGACCGAGAAAGTAGTGGGGGATTTCCCTTTTCACTCACATTTCTGTATTTGTATTTTTGTGATGAGCATGTCTCTTCCATAATTTACAAATAAAAAATAAAAGGAATATGTAAATAAATATGCAATCATATGATGAACATAAAAATCATCTGTAACCCCATTACCCAGAGAGCTGCTATTTGTATTTTGGTAGTATAAATCCTTCAAAATATTTTTCAATGAACTTCCACTATTATAAACTTTTATAGCCTGTATTTTTTAAAAACATCTCAATTTTTCCCATACATTATTCGTTTAAAGCATCATTTTAAAGGGCTGCATAGTATTCTAAATTATAGGTGTACCACAATTCAGTTAAACAATGCTCTATTGTGGAAAACTTGGGTTGTTTTCTAACTTTATAAGAAAACTACTGTGATCATCAATCTTGTACATAAATCTGTACATCTCTATTTTCATATATTTTTGTTTGTTTTTTGAGATGGGGTTTCACTCTATTGCCGAGGGTGGAGTGCTATGGCACTATCTCAGCTCACTGCAACCTCCGCCTCCTGGGTTCAAGTGATTCTCCTGCCTCAGCCTCCCAAGCAGCTGAGAATACAAGCATGTGCTACCACGCCTGGCTAATTTTTGTATTTTTTGTAGAGATGGGGTTTCGCCATGTCACTCGGGCTGGTCTTAAACTCCTGGACTCAAGAGATCTACCCACTTTGGCCTCCCAGAGTACTGGGATTACAGGCATGAACCACCGTGTCCAGCCTCTATTTTCTTATAATAAATGTTCTGAAGTTTAATTTACTGGACCAAAGAATATGACCATTATTAACTTATTTACTGGGCCAAACAGAAAGAACATTGTTGGCATTTTTTAGAAAGGGTATACCACTGTAAGCTTTTTTTTTTTTTTTTTTTTTGAGAAGGAGTCTCGCTCTGTCGCCCAGGCTGGAGTGCAGTGGCCGGATCTCAGCTCACTGCAAGCTCCGCCTCCCGGGTTCACGCCATTCTCCTGCCTCAGCCTCCCGAGTAGCTGGGACTACAGGCGCCCGCCACCTCGCCCGGCTATTTTTTTGTATTTTTTAGTAGAGACGGGGTTTCACCGTGTTAGCCAGGATGGTCTCGATCTCCTGACCTTGTGATCCGCCCGTCTCGGCCTCCCAAAGTGCTGGGATTACAGGCTTGAGCCACCGCGCCCGGCCACTTTAAGCTTATACAAGAAATATATGTGCTGGTGAGAAAGTATTTTTGTGGGCACAAATTCAAGGCATTAAAATGTTTTAATCACTGTCATTTTGAAAGACAAAAATGGCATTTCTGGCCGGGCGCGGTGGCTCTCAACTGTAATCCCAGCACTTTGGGAGGCCGAGGCGGGTGGATCACCTGAGGTCAGGAGCTCAAGACCAGCCTGGCCAACATGGTGAAACCTCGTCTCTACTAAAAATACAAAAATTAGCCAGGCATGGTGGCAGGCACCTGTAATCCCAGCTACTCAGGGGCCTGAGGCAGGAGAATCACTTGAACCTGGAAGGCAGAGGCTGCAGTGAGCTGAGATCACACCACTGTACTCCAGCCTGGGCAGCAGAGTGAGACTCCTTCTCAAAAAAGAAAAAAAAAAAAAGGCATTTGTCTGTGTTTTTGTTTGTACTTCCTTGATTAGTGAAGTTAAACACTTTTCCATATGTTTATTGACTGTTTGCATTTGTTACTTTGAGAAGAGCCTATTTATACCTTTGTACATACTCTACCTTGATTACTTCTGTTCCAAGAATTCTGGGGTCTAACACATTACACATTCCTGTATAAAAACTCCTTACAATAATATATCTGGTTGACCAAAGGCACAGAAAGTTTACAAAATATATAAGAAAATGAAAAAATTTTGGATCTCACTGAAATATGGCTTAGGTATAAAGAGCTTCTTAGTCAGCTTTTTTGAATGTAAGGTTAAAATTAGTTTTCTTTTACCATTGAATTCTTCAACTTCCAGCTCTGGAGCTACCAGGTAATACTGTTCACACAGCATCTTGGCTGTTTCATATGCATCTACAAGAAAAGGAAAAAGTTTAGCTGCTGCACTAATAACATATAGGCACAAGCATGTATGTGTGTGTGTGTGTGCATGCATGTGCATGTATATATCTATAGGTATATAAGATAAAGAAACTGTCTAAACAGATGGATGTAGAATTAATCAACTACAACCTTTTACAAAATATCCTTTTGTGGCTTTAATAGAATTACCATGACTAAAACAAAAGTTCTCTTTTCTATTTTTTCCAAGACAGCGTCTCACTCTGTCGCCTAGGCTAGAGTACAGTGGTGTGATCATAGCTCACTGTAGGCTCGAACTACTGGGCTCAAGCAGTCCTCCCACCTCAGCCTCCCAAGTAGCTGGCCTTACAGGCACATGCCACCATGCCCAGCTAATCTCTCTTTTCTTAAAGGATTTTTTTGTTTGTTTGTTTTTTGAGACAGAGTCTTACTCTGTTGCCCAGGCTGGAGTGCAGTGGTGCCATATCGGCTCACTGCAACCTCCGTCTCCCAGGCTCAAGCGATTCTCCTGCCTCAGCCTCCCGAGTAGCTGGGATTACAGGCGGATGGCACCACGTCCGGCTAATTTTTGTATTTTTAGTAGAGATGAGGTTTCACTATGTTGGCCAGGCTGGTCTCGAACTCCTGACCTCAGGTGATCCACCCACTTTGGCCTCCCAAAAGTGCTGGGATTACAGGCATGAGCCACCGTGCCTGGCTTTCTTTTCTTAAAGTCTTAATGACCATAACAATGGCAACATACTAGAATACTGGCAATTCAACTAGCTCTATACCAAACACATATTTGTTTAACTTATAACTATTACCAGAAGATATTTTTCATGAAAATTTAGGAACTCAAGACTATACTTTCCAAGCACCATGCAACCTGACTAAATTGTAGCAAAATAATATTTGTCATGATCTTAAAAATAATAATGCCAACAGTCTTGTGATTTGCCAGAGTTATTTGTAAGTGAAACCTCAGTAAGTATTTGCTGAATGAATGGATTTCCATGAGCCACACAATTTAAATTACTGGAGATGCCACTATCACTTTAAAAGGTCCTTTCAATTAGTTAAAGGTAACAGGCTGAGGCTGATATTTATCAAAGTCTGAGGAGCAACAGTTCACTTTTTAAAGGATAAAATAAAAAACATATGGTAAGAAGATCAGAGCCATTACAGAAATAGCTGGAAGACAGAATTCAGGAGATTCAAAGATGGGGAGCAAATTCAGAAAGTAAAGGTGCATTACAAGACATTGGATACTGCATGTATGCCTTTTCTCTCGAACTGTAAACAATCTGAGGTCAGTGTTTGTGTCTTAACACTTGTTTTATAACTTGCATAGAACTTCGTATAGTGCCTATGTAGATGGTCAACAAACAGTCCTTGAGCCAGGTGCAGTGGCTCACGCCTGTAAACCCAGGACTTTGGGAGGCCGAGGTGGGCTGATCACTTGAGGCCGGGAGTTCAAGACCAGCCAGGCCAACATGGTGAAACCCCGTCTCTACTAAAAATACAAAAATTAGCCATGCATGGTGGTGAGTGTCTGTAATCCCAGCTAGTTGGGAGGCTAGTTGGGAGGCTGAGGCAGGAGAATTGCTTGAACCCAGGAGGTAGAGGTTGCAGTGAGCCGAGATCGTGCCACCGCACTCCAGCCTGGGGGACAGAGTGAGACTCCATCTCAAAATAAAAAATAAATAAATAAAAATAAATTAAAAATTTTTTAAAATCCTTGGTTTGATAAATTTTAAACCTTTTGGTAATTTACTTTTAAAAAATCTTTATTGGAGATAATTATTATACCATACAATTCACTCATTGAAAGTAAAGTTTACTTTTAAAAAATCTTTATTGGAGATAATTCTTATACCATACAATTCACTCACTGAAAGTAAAGTGTACACACGGCCGGGCGCAGTGGCTCACACCTGTAATCCCAGCACTTTGGGAGGCCGAGGCAGGGGGATCACTTGAGGTCAGGAGTTCGAGACCAGCCTGACCAACATGGTGACACCCCTTCTCTACCAAAAATACAAAAATTAGCCAGGCATGGTGGCGGGTGCCTGTAGTCCTAGCTACTCAGGAGGTTGAGGCAGGAGAACTACTTGGACCTGGGAGGCAGAGGTTGCAGTGAGCCGAGATCACGCCACTGCATTCCAGCCTGGGTAACAGAGTGAGACTCCATCTCAAAAAAAAAAAAGTACATACAACTCAGTGGTTTTTAGTATATAGTCAGAGCTGTGCATTAATCACTATAATCAAGTTTACATTTTCATCACTACCAAAAGAAGTTCCAAACCCGTTAGCAGTTACTCCCCTCCACCCAGCCCTAGGCAACCATGGATCTACTTTGTCTCTATAGATTTGCTATTCTGGACTTTTTACATAAACGGAATAATATGCGGTCTTCTGTGACTGGCTTCTTCCACCAGCATGTTTTCAAGCATCATCTACATCATAGCATGTATCAGAACCTCATTTCTTTTTATTGCTATATTATATTCCATTGTGCAAGTATACCATATTTTCTTTATCCATTCATCAGCTGGTAGACATCTGGGTTGTTTCCACTTTTTGGCTATTATGAATAGTGCTGCTATGAACCTTCATGTCCAAACATTTGTGTGAACATATGCCTTCATTTCTCTTGGGTATATACCTAGGAGTAGAAAATTGCTGCTTCGTGGGCGCATTTGGAATGTTCTCAACAGGATTATCAGCTCTTTGGAGACAGGCTCTTATTTCCTTTATATTCCCCACATCAATACTGTGCAAAAGTAGATATTGTGCTTGTTTAATATTCAAGAGGTGAGAAAAAGAAGGAAGGAAGGAAGGAAAGGGGGAAAAGTAAGCCCTACAGAATGTCAATGTTAAAAATTGACATTATTAACCTACAATAATACAAAGATAAGATTAGGGTATGTTCAGACTATAAATTTTGGTTCATTGACTTCATATTGCTACCAAATTAAAATTTTATCTATTATTTGACCTCAGAGTAAGAATTCTGATTCTTTTACTAAACTTTTAGAATTAAATCCCTATAAAGAACCAAAGATAGAGATATTAAAATAACTCAGACAAGGTGAAATAATGAGGGACAGCAAAAAGGAAACAGCAGTAAGAGGAGAAAAAAAATGTTTCAAAGAGTTGGTCAGTATGAAAATAGACACTTAAGTAGGATTGAATTTCAACCCTGAAAAAGAAAGAAAGTTAAAAATTTTGAATTATACTAAATTTACAAGTGTTTTCCTAGGCTATAATAAACCTTATCAAATATCTCTAAAGTACTTTTGTCAAAAGAAGAGAAATCAAGACTCACTCCTCTTGCTTAGCCTATGCCACCAAACAATGCTACATCTCCACCTAGTGACGTGAAAGCACAAAGTTGAACAGGAATTTCCAAGATCACAAACACTGAAACCTAAAAACGATCATTCATTATCCATACACAAAGCCAACACATCTCCACAAAACAACTCCTCTAGGTATGTAATAAAGATGTTTAAACAGTGCTCTTCCATTCACTACCAAACAAAAATAATCTACACCCACTAAATGTCCTAATTTCTCATGGAATTCGCTTGCCCAGTAGCATGATTATGACAGCGCTGTTAAGAAAACGTGCTACACAAATTTAACATGTGAAAGACCAAGCCCGGACAGAAGCAGCCAACTCAAAACACAAAGACCCAGTACAGCTCCTAAAACCACGTGTGATTAAGAATTTTTAAAGCATCACTACAAAATATAGTGTATCAATGCTATAATTAAGAATTGCATGATGATCCTTGAAGAACTCAAGTCATCACAATGTAGACTCACATACACCAGCTAGCCAAAAGGGCAATAATGATATTATCTATATACTATGCATCTTTGTAAATTCCTTGGACACAATGCATGTTGCAGTGCCTGGGACACAATACACACTTAGTGAGCATTTGTTAAATGGAACGATCCTCTGGCCCATGATTAAGTTCTCAACATGCAGTAAACTACATTGACAGGGGGTGTTCCTTTTGGTGAGACTGGGAATTAGAGGCCTAGAGTCATTCCCCAGTCTAGCTGTGTGTGGGATTCGTTACCAGGTTTGAAAGAAAGAGTACAGATTATGAAAGGAACCCCTGGAAATTCTGAGGCAGTAGCTCTATGTTGAAGCCTGAGAGTCCACATTCTTAAAATTTAGCAGGTAATTTGGAAGAGAAGCTAGACCACTTCCCTGGAAAGTCAAGTCTGAGTCACACTAATTCTGCCACTCATCTCTCCTAGGACACGAATGCTTATGAGGTACTGGGGTGACAGCACTTATATACTCAAACAGGATATTTCTGTTTAAGTAAAATAATTTAACATAAAAATGAAAAAGCTTTAAGAAATCACCATCAAAACCAAAATTCAACTAATGGCTTGTAATTTACACTTAGAGTAAAATGCAAATTCTACTTATAATAAGCTTTCTAATCAAACTTTTCTATTTTTTAAATTTAGATATCAAAATATCAAAAAAGATAACTGCCAAATTATTTTATGTGCAATATATTGGAGCCAATATTTACCATCAATCTTTAGAAGAAAATATTAGAAAATTATTATTGCCGTTGAATATAAATTATATGCCTTATTTTAGGAATCTGTTTTCAAGGGTTTTAAGGTATTGATTATAAAATAATTAACAAAACTGTAGGTGTGGCTCATACATACTTCCCCAGGTTAAAATAACTAAACTGTAAATACATGAATCAAAAATTTTTTTTTTTTAAGACAGAGTCTGGCTCTGTTGCCCAGGCTGGAGTACAGTGGCGTGATCTCGGCTCACTGCAAGCTCCGCCTCCCAGGTTCACATCATTCTCCTGCCTCAGCCTCCCAAGTAGCTGGGACTACAGGTGCCTGCCACCATGCCTGGCTAATTTTTTGTATTTTTAGTAGAGACGGGGTTTCACCTTGTTAGCCAGGATGGTCTTGGTCTCCTGACCTCGTGATCCGCCTGCCTCGGCCTCCCA